TAATTTATTTAACATTAACATTATAGAAAAAAATAATTCATTGTATATGATGTATTTTGTTGCAATTAAGGTGGTTGCGGCTCAGTTATACATGTCTAAATTAAGGAAACTAAATCTCAACGTAACGACTAAAAATTTTTTAGTATTTCAAGGAGCTATCGACTCCACGTTAATGAAAACACCAAAAGAATATACTCGTATGTTTGAGGAAATTAGTAATTCAATTGAACTAAAGGAAGAATATGAAAGGTATAATAAATATATGTTTTTAAATATTATTACGTATCATTGTTATAAATTTTATTGTTATATGTTATTGTTATTATAAATATTGTTAATATATTTATAGGTTGAAAAGTGAAATTATTAAAGAAGAAATTGAAATTAAATATTTGTACAAAAGTAAAAAGGATCTTCTTTTAAAGAAGAAATATGCTTCATTAGAAAAAAAGGAAGCAGACAAATGTAAAAAGCTTCATAATCAGTGTGTATGTACGAGAGACATATTGATTAATCGTAGGATTGTCACAAGATTTTCCATTAGAGTAAATTTAATACAAATTGAAACGCTATTCGTGACTCTTGACATCTTTAGAGTGTCTAGTAACAGATGTTTTGAGTGATATACATCCTAAGTAGATGTGCAGTCGTAAAGTTATTGCCATTCGACCGCTCGTCCGAGAGGCAATGAAAGACTACACGTATATGTATTATGGTTGCGTCTATAAATTGATAATATGTATGATACGACAATATCGATAGCATGGTTTAAAATTGAGATCAGTTTGTTTTTTGCCACATTGCATTTGCACACATTCGGTGTTGCGCATGTTCATGGTATATGTACATAATAATGTTTATGTACGTATAAACGAAAGCCTTTGAGACATCTGTCGGTATCAAAGGCAGATCGGTGTGCGAGTTTATTGCTTTGACTGATGGCCGATTCCAAGATATATTTTTCTCGCATTGCATCATTTTAATATAAATATATAATTTAAAATAAATATTTCTCCGAATATTTTCATGTTTGAACGTCCCATATAGAGCGATTTGCGATAAATACTGCTTACGGTGTTTGCTTTCATATCTTATTAAATCGTTGCATTTAACTGCTCCTCTGAATTTAGCTATATATATAAAAAAAATTATACTACTCCATCACTGATGAGTTATAGCGTTTCATTCATAGTGAATTCCATATTAATTTCTTCATATAAATCTAGTTGCGTTTTTACTGTAAACCGCGTCACATTTACAGTCACATTCCATTAAGAATTAGATAATTAAAATCATTGTATTGTATTCTTTATGATAAAAAAGATCATTTCAATGCAATGAAACAGGACATTTTTTAGATGCAATAATTTTTAAATGCAATATGCAAAAATAATACTTGTGCATATAAAATAATAATATAAATGCATATGAAAATAATAATAATATATAATAATAATAATAATAATAATAATAATAATAGTAATAATAATTTTACATACAAAAAATTTGCAAATTATATTTGATATATGTTCTCGGATTAATCAGCCATTCGCCTATCTTGCTCGGGCTTAGCCCCATGGAGGCCAATTAAGGGATCTATTTTATTGTAAATGCTATTTCGTTATTAGAAATTAATCCTACACGTTAAATATTTTCTTTCATCTTTTAGTTAAGTAAAAAAACAGAGTTGTACCTCTTCGAATTATTCCATATTCAAAAAGATATTGAAGATCTAGATGTTACTCTGAGGGCTACAGAACTGAAACTGATCAAATACAAGAACGATAAAGACGATAAAAGTGGCGTTTTAAAAGAGCGAAAAAGACAATTAAAAATTGCACTTGGAACTTTGGAAAATATCGAACAAGATCTTTTCAACTTGGAAGACGATGAGAAACAGAAACAGAAACAGAAAAATTTGTTCGAAGAAAAAGTTTCATATTGCGAACAAAAGATTAAATCTCTCAATCGGAAGCTATCGGAAGCACGAGAATCGAATAAATCTCACTTGAAAGCAACAAAAGAATTAATACAAAGAAAAGACGAATTAGTGCAAAGGAAATCTAAGGTCGAAAAAAATATAGCGACTCATTTACTGTCTCAAGGCAGCAGTATTCAACTTAATGATACACAAGTAATAATAGTTCTGCAAATACATATATGATGTAGTATTATATTTTTATACAAAGACGTGACATTAATTTGGCCAAAATCTAATTGATAGCTTTACATTTTTCAATAGCATACGTTATACCTACATAATACTTCATAATTGAATATAATTCATACTTGAATTTATATGAGAGTGTAATCGTTTATTAAAAAATAATTCAGAATTGTAAAATAATATCTTTTTCACAAAGAATTTCATTTTTGAGTAAATTGATATTAATACTAAAGCTGGTGGAAAGCACTTTGTAGTATAAGAAAGATTAGTAGATAAGTAGAATCTGAAAATCTTAATTGTGTGATTGTAATATATTATTCAATTGATTTTCCGAATTGTACAATTAATGTTATATTAGTATTAGAATTTTTTTAACAATATAAAAGTTTTTATGTTAAAAATGTTGTACTAATCTTTATTATTATATTATAATTATAAAGATATTATGATATTATAATTATAGAATAATACGTGAAAAAATAATTGACATATATTTGTTTTCAAAGGTGAAAGAATATTTTCATTTAAAACAAACAGCTGGGGCACAGTGTTCAGAAAATATACAGGTGTGCATTTCTCTTAAACGTGAACAAAGTGTGAACGAAAATAAATTAGACAACGAAAATAGAAAAAAATATGAGTTAGAAGCTACGTTACAGCAAAAAAATATTTTAAAATATGAAACGGAAAGACGTATTAAAAGTCTTCAACGATGCATGGATAAAATTCAGGATATATCAACAAATAAAACAAATACAAAATATAATGTGGAGAAAGAAAAAAAGGATATGGAATCTATACAACGAGAATTACAATCAGTCTCTGAACAACTTGATTCTGCAAAATTAGATAAATTTACAACTTTGCGCCTAACTAAAGCGGAAGAAACAATCAAAGTTTTACAAAACCTTTTTACTGGTGTGGTATGGATTAAAATTCATAAAATATACATAAAATATACTAATAATAATAATAATTTATACATATTATGAAAAAATGTATTTTCTTTTGAATTCTAGTATGATCGTTTATATAAGTTGTGTAAGCCTATTCATCCTCGGTACGATGTTGCTATGACAAAAGTATTGGGAAAATACTGCAACTCTATTATTGTCTCTACAAACAATGTAGCAGTACAGTGTATCAATTATTTAAAGCAACAAGAGATAGGAACTGAAACATTCCTGCCAGTAGACAGTCTGAAAGCAGAACCAATAAAGAACCATCTACGGTATTGATTCAATATTTATCTATAAAATATTAATTTCATACACGAACGATGAAACGATCTCGTATTTTATTATATTATTTGTTAATATTACTTTAATATTTTTTATTTAAATTTATCCAACTCTTCAATTACTTTGACTGTATTTGTCTCGGAATTATTTTGTAGCTCTTCACATTTTTTTCTGGTTAATACATAAATCGCATTTATTGATTACTTTGCTGAACGTTTTTGGAGTCATAGTCCGCACTTTGATAGTTTTAACTGGTCAAAATTAGTTAATTAGTTATTGTCATTCTGAAATTGAGCCAGGGTATCAGGATGATTTGTGCATCAACGTAAACGGTTGCAGTCTAACTATATTTTTTAGTTCATTTTTGATAATTTGTGATTATGTTATTTCGGTGAGGATAAGTAAATTTCTCAGAAGTCTCAGGTTGTTCTATTTAAATAGAAATTTTAATAATTAAATATTCAGTTGTTCGATGTAACATGTAAGTACTGTAAATGATGTTTTTAAAATTCTTTAGCGGAATTACAAACCCAAAAAATGTAAAACTTTTGTACGATGTGCTTAACTTTGAACATAAAAAAATGAACAATGTCATCTTGTTCGTAACTAAAAACACCCTTGTTTGTGAAACGTCAGAAGATGCAATCATATTGGCAGATGAAATGGAACCAACTAAAATCAATGTGAGAATGAATATATAATTTTAATAAGTCTAATTATAGTTTTAATAAGCTTACGGTAGGAAATCCAGTATACGTATGTATACATTGTATTGCATCATATTGTGTAACATTTATGTCGTTATAGTGCGTTACATTAGATGGAACTTATTACACGAAGTACGGTATAATTTCTGGAGGGCAGGTTGAACTATTAAAGAAAGCCGAAATATGGAAAGAGAAAGACTTTGTCCAATTAAAATCAAAAAAGGTTTTGTTTTCATTCCATTTACTATTCGCATAGCGAAAGATATAAATATATATTTATATTGAATTTTATTTAATCCTTTTACAGATGATGCTAATGGAGGAATTGAGAAAAATGAAAATTTCTCAAAATAAATCTGACATAATTACGTTAGACATAGAGATTCAAAGTTTAACAAATAAATTAAATTATTGCACATTAGATTTAAAAGACT